TGCTCCCACTGTAAGATGGAGTGGTACAGTTTGTTCCTTGTCCAGTACAGGAACAGCTGTACAAGTACAGAGTACTTTCTGACCCAGTATAACCAACTCCTCACAGCAAGTTCAAATTGTGACACTTTTTCAGGGGAAAAAAAACATAGTATTAGCCAGTAGCATAACAACAAAGACATCATTTCAGGATTTAAATGGTCCTGCATAGTAGCCATTTGATGTACTGAATCTACAGTTTCTTAGGGAAAAGATGCAACTACTTGTACTACTTCTACCTGCCAGAAAAAGCAAATACAGATACCACCTGCTCACAGAGGAGAGCCCTCCTCAAAACCTAGCATTTCCTTCACTGAAACCCAATTAAAATGGTAAGCATTACTCAGTTGTTGTATAAAACTTCAGATATCACACAACAGCAGTAAGTGAAATCAGGGGGCTCACTTAGCTGTCTTTATTTAGCCTGTATCCTCACGCTCATTCCTCATTAACACTGGTATACCACAGATGAAGTCTGCTAAGAGATGTGCTCATTTCAGTGAGGGAAATAACATCTTTAGTAGCTTGCACATACATCTGTGCTAATGCAGAATTTTGGCTTAACCATACTGTGGCAAAAGATGAGGGTCACAGAAACACAAAGGATAAGAGGACCTTCAAGACAAATAAAGTGATGGAGGGTCCAGCTCTGGAAAGTGAGCGCATGAGAGCAGAGCAGGGGTTGCAGCATGGGAACAGTAATGGGAAGGAATGGTTTAAAGCCCAACCTGTTGAGTGTTGGCTCTTTGTAGCAGACTATGCCCCGTCTCCGCCTGGATGAGTCCTCTGTCTTCCTCGAGCCTGGGAGAAGTGTTAGAGTCCTGGCATTGGTCAAGTCCTGTAGTGGTTTGATCTCTGCAAAGGGAGACATTCACATGTGTACGAGCTTATCAAAGTGTTTCAAAATCATTTCCAGATATCCTAATACATATAGCTGTCAAATACAGAAGGGCTGCATTACCAGGTTTCTTTGAGCACTGCACAATCCTGAACCCAATCACGTTCCCTCTAAACTCAGAAGACCATTTTTGTCCAAAAATCCCAGACCTGATCCACAAGTCAGCTCAGGAATCAGATTAGGTTCCTCACTGAAAAAATACAGGTCACTAATGCTACTAGTATCACTGGACCCTGATGTATTAAATAAAAGATACAAAAATGATAGTTGATAATTCTAATGCCCAGGAGCTCACAGCCTGGAAGAAAATGCAAAGTTTATGGCATCCAAAACCTAGGAAGCATCCAGCAAGACACAGGACCTCCCAGTGTTCACTGCAACTTCCAAATTGAACTCAGCCAAGAGGGAGAGGGCAGGAGAACAAACTTCGTCCCTCTAAAAAGTACAGCCCACTCTAGCTACAACATGTGTGAAAGACTGATCCTTCATGATGCTGGAACCAGGACTGGTGAATTTTCTTTTTCTCTCTCTCCCCGCTTCCCTTGCAAGGCCCATAGTGTCGTTTGTTTTCAGCCATTAAGCCGACTGTTGTGGGAAAAACTATTGTCTTTGCTGCTACCGTTATCTGCCACTAATTTGTTGTTAGCTGTTAAGCCAATTGCTGTCAGCAAAACTGATAAGCACAGGATTGGTGATTGGAACTGTTCAATAAACACTTTAGTTATGAACCTTGAGACTTGTCTCACCGCTGTTCAACCCATTGGAGATTTATAAGTCTGAATCGCCTGTCCCCCTCCCTCAGAGCTGGACATGACAACAGGCCTGTTGGTCAACAGCTACAGGAAGGAAAAACCCCACAGAAAAACTCTCTGTAAAAAGAGTATCAAATAACAGCAAGCTCCCAAAAACACTTAGCTTATTGAATTACCAGCCAAGGGATACACCTTCCAAATCTTTTAAAGAAACCCAAAGATAGTTTAGGTAGCTCTTGATGAATTTCCATTGAAGATACCACCTAAAGGTATAAAGTCTGAATCTTTACAGCACTAACCATTCTGGACCAAAAAACTGCCACCTTCATCATATTCTGTGCCCCACTAATGCTTACTCTAGTAGGCAGGGTCAGCATCAAATTATACTTTTCAATTCCTTGAGTAATTGATTTTCTAATTCAAATCAAATTATGCTTTTCAATTGCTTGAGTAATTTATTTTCTAAATTGACAGGCATGCCTTGTAGATACCAAAGGTGGTGAAGTGGGACTCGCAGCATGTGCTCCTAGTCTTTTTGCAGTAGCCACACATAAACAAGTGAACAGAAATTCTTACAGGAATGCTGATAAACTAGAAGCAAATGCAGCCACAGAAATGACTGAGTAGCATAAATGCTGTACTGGACACTGATCTTTAACTCTGAAGAAAGGGAAGAGGGGAAGAAAAATATAAGCACTTGCTGCATGGGTTTTTGGCACTCATGTCCAAACACAGGTCCCCTCCCCAGCCTACAACCTACCAGGTTCCTGTGAAGGTGAGCTCAAAGAACTTGACTTGAGCTGGTTTCTTTCTCCAGGTATTTCCTCTGCAGTCTTTTCTTTAAATACTAGTGAGCTTTCCAGCCAAATAGATTTCTCTGGCATTCTGTTACCTTCAGTACTTAAGCTCTTGGAAACTGGTACGTCTGTAAGCCTGGAACTGACAGGCAAAGCTGCAGAACAGCTCACACAGGATTCAAAACTCTGTGAAAGATCCATAAGATTATTTGCAAGTGATATGTCAGCTATCTGCTCCTCCAGGAAGTCACATGGCTTAGACAGCAGATCTGTAATGCTGGAAAACTTGCCCATCAGGACAGCTTGCTTAGATGTAAGTTCTGAACTTCCAATGAACACCTTGGCACTATCACTTTCTCTGGTGAGGAAATCAGCCTCTGGAGGACTACAGGCGCTCCTCTTCCTCTGAGGCCTTGGTTTGGGATAAGTCTCTTTTATATTTTCTTGAAGGACTCCCTTCAGTTTTTTATTGCTCTGAGCAGCTACCAACCTCTCAACTCTAGGAATTTTGCTAGCTTTGCTCCCTGGAATAGACCTGGGAGGTACAATTTCACTCCCTTCAAAATCTGTCTGGACACAACTCAAGTTTCCTGCAATATCCAAAGGACAAACAATGTAAGTTTCCCTGCTACGTTTAAGATTACATGGTGAATCCTTTGTGCTCTCCTTAGATACTCCTTGAACATCTATACATGGCCCAAAAACAACAACTTCCTTTCTCTGATCACAACAACTGCTTTTCCTAACTGTCATCTTCCTGCTTGTCTGGCTTCTTTTAGGCTGTTTTTCAGCTTTGGCCTCTGGTATTTTCACACTGTTTGGCAGATTCTCAAAGTCATCTATTTGCCTAATTACTCTAGTTTTTCTGTTGGTTTTCTGCCTGATGCTCTTTGTGCTCACACTTGAGTTGTCTTGAAAAGCACAGGCACTTGAGGTCTCTCTCCTGAAGAAAAGTGCATTTTGTAGATTGGAATCATCTGAAGGAACTTCATGACTTGAGAGGGTACAAACTGGGCTTTCTGGCAAGCTCTCAGTACTTTGGATCTCAAAGATAGCTTCCTCCTTAAGCTGTTGCAGTAAGTCACCACTGTGCAGCTGTGCTGGATTCACCGCATCTGTTCTTCTGAGATATTGCACTTCATCAGAAGTTTTTTGCTCCACACCAGAGCCTTCATTCTTCCTGTCAAAAGCCTCCACGCAAGCCTTCTGCCTCACCTCAGAAACTTCAGACTCAATATAACATGTTGGAACTTGTGGCTGAAGAATCTTCTTTGCATTTTGAGCACTCTCTTCACCTTGAGATAGAGCAGGACTACTTTCTGCATTGGTTTTAATTGCATTTGTTTTCTTTTTTCCTGTGCTTGCTTTTTTAACAGTTGTTTTCTCACCAGTTTTACATTTCTCACCAGTTTTACATTTCTCACCAGTTTTAACCTTTACAGGAACAAACTCAGGGACTTGGCTATAGCTGGGGTCTGTTTCAGCATCACATCCAGTTTTTTCAGCCTGTGGCTGATCACAGCAAATCTCTTTACCCAAAGATCTTCTATCAGAAACAACAGTGATTTGAGTAGGTGAAACCAGGGAGCTAGGAGATTTCAGCTGTGCCTGTGTGTTGCTCTTGCTGGAGCTGCTGCTGTCTTCTGTGATACTACTCTGAGCCGCCTGAGTAGAACTGACACGTGGGAAGACAGCCACACCAGCAGATGGAGTGCTTGTTGCAAACAAGGTAGAACACTTTCTCCTCTGAGTAATATGCCCTTGTGAGAGACGATCAAAGGAATGTTTTGCCATCTCATAACCCTCATCTGGAAGAGGATGACTTTCCCAGGCAAGTGCTGGCAAACTGTTGGTATTTTGTTGGGTGTTGTGCAAGGCCCCTGTTGGAAAGAAAATTAATTCCTAAGACTGAGAAATGCAGCAGCAGACAAATGCCAGCTTTCCCCACTCCACTTAAAAGCCCTGACCCACACACTGCCAAAAATCTAGAGCACAGAAAAAAGAATGTTTGGGACTCCTCAAACTTACTGCATAACAGAATTGCTCGGCTGGGTCCCCTCAGAACAGAAAGGCAATCCAAAGCAAGATCCATTAACTAGCCCTGATATTTAGGAGTACTCACAATCTGTATAGGAGTTATTATTTATATGGCAAATCCACAAGGAACAGGTGTGCAGCTAGTCGAATTCTGCACCTTTGGACATGGCTGAAAATCTTATGCAAGCTCAGTGTCTACTACTCAGAAAGACTGATAAGTGATCTTGAGCTATTGCAAACACACCAAATATCCCCGTCACGGCATCTCACTCTGGGATAGATGCAATTCTAGCAATATCAGCTACAACTGAAACATGCAGTTCCTAACAGTAATTAGGAGCTGCTGGAGTGATGGTTAGCAACTAAATCATTGTTTCATTTCTGCACAAAGACATGCAAAGTCAAACCAGAACAACAGAAGATGCAAATTTACCTTCAAAAGTGTATGAGTCAAGAAAAGCCTCTTGTGCTTCTGTTGCTTCAGTTGGCCTCTTCCCATTCTCTTCCTGGTGGAACTGAGGCTTCTCAGCAGGCTGTGGTGGCAAAGTGTCCTTGGAGGCAACAGGCACAACTTCCAGAGGCTCATTAGAAGCAGATCTCTGAAGATCTAATGAGGATGTTGGTACCACTGCGGAGCCGCCACCTTGCTGTCCTGCATCACGCCGCTTGGAAATGGGCACCCTCATTGGCATCCATGGCGCACTACTGAGAAGGAATAACAGCAATGGAGCATTTTACATATCTGTGACAGGCTCCAGAATCCAGTAGAATAGCTACACCTTTCGTCTCCATCAAGGGATGCTGAAATACATTTCTGAAGGCTTAAAGTGCTAAAGAACACACTGCCCAGCCAGGACAGATTTCCCATTCTTGTGCAAGTACAACTCATAAGGAAAGCACACCACTGCAGACACAGAAACAGGACAAAAATACACTGAGGCAACAAAGTAAGGCCTTTCAGTGCTCAGGTTGTGACCATAGGTTCACCTCACTGTGGAACACCAACGTGGCTGCTTGGAGGTATGTGTGTGGGCAGCTTCAAGGGTTCCCCTGTGTTCAAAGGGGAGACTAGACAGACGAGAAACAGAACTTCAAATACATTAAAATATCCTGCTCTGACCTGCTTTCCAAAGCACAAGTTTATATCATACAAACAGATGACTATTAAGCATTTATATGTAGCAAATATCAAAGCAGCCAGCTATGGCACTCACTCAGTTGAAGAAATCTTGCAGTGTTCACCAGCAACAAAGGAAAAACTATCTAAAAGTAATGCACTTTCAAACAAAGGAGAGAGAAGGACCAGTTTATGCATAGACTCAGCATTAGGACAAATAAGACAAGGAGTAGCAGCAGAAAGAGAGTAAAAGAAAACATCAAGCAGTGGTGGTTTAGAGAAGACATCTCATGTAAAAGAGACAACTGGGCAACATATAAAACACAAGAGGAAGTTTAGCATACAGGAATTCAGGACAAGCTTGGTGATATTTGACATCTTAAGGCCCACCTCGAAAGATGACAATCTGCAATATAGTCAGACGAGCTATCATCAGTCATGCTGCTCTTCTGGTCATTGGACAAGGATGCAGAACTTGCACAGAACTGGAAAGCAGAGAAATAGAAGGCTGGTTTAAAGCTTCTGCAATCCCCTGTGCGCCCCCCTGCACTGAAACAACAGAAGCTAAGTTTCACCTTGGAAAGTACGTCAAATACTGCTGGTGACCCCCTCCCATTTGAAATTGCACAGATTATGGAATAAATTGCAGCAGAGTCATAGTCTGTCTCCACAGGCTTAAGGATAGAGTTAGACTAGTTCGGATAATCTGAGACTAGGAAGCAGGAGTATTTTACCACCCACCCATGAGACAGGACATATGGAAAGTGTCCTATTCCCTATGTAAGTTGCCATGGCAACACTTGAAAGGAGAAATTGGAAAAAAGTCACAACCTGTCATATCAGAAGAGCCTACTGGCCAATACAGCCCATGACCCAGGGGAAGAGAGTTTAGAACTGTAGCCTTTCCTACAGAAGAAGTTACTCTAGAAATCATTAACACCAAGCTAAAAATGAGGATGCAGCCAGCACAATTCAAGCAAGCAAAGAAAACCAATTGAAGCTTCAAACACTGAAGGGAGCAGGCAACACAAAGCAAAAGACATAGACAAAACAGTCCTCTTCCCAGAGCAGTGTAGTCACGTTTCCCATGGTTTACCTCAGACGGACAGGCCATTTTAACTCCAGCCATAAGGTTTTCAAGTTCTTTCCAGGTGTTAGTCTGTGTTGAGGTAATAACAAAACAGAAGCAATAAAGACATTAAATCAAAACGTCTATTCCAAAAAGGATGTTGGTAGCTAAAACAAGGCATGTTCTGGGGAGAACAAAGCTTGACAGAAAGAGTAAACAAATGAATGGTAGCATTTTTCATATGCAGAGAGTATGTAGAATCAGTGACAGCTTCCTCGAGGCTCCCAAGGTTGAGATGCTAGTGCTGCATACATAGAATCATAGAATGGTTTCAGTTGAAAAAGACCTTTAAGATCATCAAGTCCAACCATCGATCCAGCCCTACTAAGTCCACCACTAGACTATGTTCCTAAGAACAACATCTACTAATCTTTTAAATATTTCCAAGGATGGCAATTCACCCACCTCCTTGGGCAGCCTGTTCCAGTGCTTAACAACCCTTTCAGTTGCCCTGGCCCATACCTTGCCCATTGTCCCTCCCCACGCTAGCCACAGTGTTAGTGCCATACCAGGAAGCAGAGCTTGTGTCGCAGCACAGCATTCTGGAAGTGGCACTCCTCCACCTCCTTCTGTAAGATTATCTTCTCCTGGGTGAGCCGCTGTGCATTGGCTTTCTCTGCATTGAGAGCCAGGGCCAGTGCTTTATTGTTGTGCTTTAAGGAGACTTTAATAGTGGAGGAGTTGTCTGTAAGGGATAAAGAAGTATCACATAAAATCAGCATCCAAGGTCTCATCCATGCCTCTTCCCTCATCATCCTTCTTTCTTTACCCAGAATAACCTCTCTTAGGCTCAGATCTCTACAACTCAATAGCATGTCTCCCCCACCCCCCTCAAAGTCAGTAGCATAATTCCTTCCAGCAACAGAAGCCTTCAGAGGACAGCAGGAAAAACTTTCCTTAACACCTAAAAAACGTGACAAGACACCCTCTCCTTCCCTCAAGGGAGACGTGCTGAGTCAGCAAGCTACTGTTTCAATTCTTAATGAATGATGGTCTGGTTCAGGTGCTGAGTTTAGAAAGATATGCTTCTGACTTTGAAGAAGTCACCTATAGCTCTGAGTCCTTATCTCCATCCAAAAAGAGGGAGAAAAATCTACTACTGAGGAACGAAGTAGCCCTTGAGCAGATTTAGATCCATGTTTCCCAGTTTCAAGACAAATAAAATTAACAGAAATACCTAACTTTTTCAAAGTAGTTCAAATTATTTTATGTACTATTGTTGCATTTTTTCCGCCATAAAAACAAATCACAGTTGGGCTAGCTTCTGTACAGGATTGCATATAAACTAAAATACTTTCCATGCCTCTTATTTTTTTTCTGTTTGGACCCTGAGGATTCAGTTACCCAGATACAGCTGTCTAATGCCATCTGAGATACTGCCGAGCAGCCTGTGATGCCCCCAGCTGCTGCTCCAAAGGTTCTACATTAAACCTGCCAGTCGCAGATACCTCAGACACCTTTGGGCACCTCAAGTGGCACTTGACACTCATTTGCAGGGTACTGAATGTACTAGAAACCCACAAGCAGAGAAGCAGCTGTTAAATGTAAGCTCTGAGTAAGACTACCACCCACTGCCACGGCCAAGGCACAGTAAAAAGCTGACACAGCTGCCAGCCTCTGTATATACCGCAAGACAAAATATACTCACTAATTATTTTGGTTTTGATTTTTGACACAAGCGAGGCATTCAACTTCGCAGTCCTCAAAGCACCGTTTTTCTTCCCTCGCATGCGCCGTCTTACGCCACTCAGGCTGAAGGACCTTCCGGAAGCCTCCATAGCTGGAGAGAAGCGACACCGAGCAGGGCTAGCACCTGTATTCTTTCCTTCAAGTACGTACCGGCAGGACCTACACTCTCCCCGAGAGGGTACCTGCGGCCTCGCTTCCCGCCCTGCCGCTGCGCTGACCCCCGCAGGGAGCAACGAGGCCG